GGCTCAACTTCCTCCAATTAGACCACGTTATGTCTTTCAATCACCAGCATGGAAAAGATTTTTTCCTCTCTTTTTAACAATACCACAAAGACAACAAGATGATCTTGAATTTTATAATATTCTGCAAGAAATACGTACTGGATGCCTTTCAAGCAAAAGTATAAATACAATAGAATCGAAAATTAACATAAACAACAATTCTCAGGAATTATACAATACAACACATATTGTTAATCTTCGTCAAGCAGCTGATATTATTAATGAAATGCTGTGTAGCCACTTACCTTTTGATGATACACAAAATGATCCAATTATCTCAATCGCTAATGATATATTGGATTTTGAAATATTGGATGATAATCATACAATATCTCAATTTAAACATCAAACTAATCTGCCCAAATCTGTACATTTGCAAGAAGGTGCCCGTGTAATGTTCTTGAACAACAAATTATTCGATGATGATATCTGTAATGGAACAATTGGTATAGTAACAGATATTATTAATAATACAAGTGTTGAAGTTACTTTTCCAACATTTACAAGTATAAATAAGGTTATTGTTCAAAAAGAGACCACCTACTTCGAGATTGATGGAAAAAGAGCCTCAAGACAACAATTTCCACTCCAAAATGCCTTTGCACTAACAGCACACAAAGTACAAGGCTTAACGCTTCCCCATATAACAACAAGTATTGATGAAACTGTGTTTATAGAAGGTCAAGTATATGTTGCTATGAGCCGTGCTACATCATGGAAAAATTTACGAATCTTAAGTTTCAATTACCATTATTTAAAATCTCCTAAGGCAGCCCTGGAAGAATACAAAAGATTAAATATAATATATAACGATGGACTAAGAAATATGTAATAAAATCAACAGATCATTACTTAAAAAAACTAATATCTTATCAATCTTATATGTCCCGTGTCAACTCAATGCAATGCAATTTGACAACGCTAATTCTTGTTTCAGTAGAAAAGTACAATTATATAATTAGAGAAGAATTACAAGTTTGACGGACATTAATAGCATTAAATATCACATTGAATCATGAGTGTGGGAATTTTATGCATATTTGGCAAAAAGTTTATTCATTCTGTGTGACATCGACCTTAATTTAAATCTGTCAATCATTTCCAAGTTCTTTATTTTCTCCGGATTTTCTTTATTAACATGTTCAGTCGAATTTTTTCGCGCTATACAAGATCAATTAATTCCTTCACTGTAGTTCGACCGAGAACTACAATTCGCTCGTTTTCGACTAACTTTCCTAATTCCAGTCCTGCTTCTCCCGTGAATACCCTTGGATTAAATCGTACTGCTTTGTTTATAAATGGAGAATTCGTGGAGTCTAAAACTGACAAGTGGATACCGGTTTAT